GGGAATTCATTCCTCTGTGTCACTGTGTCGGGATAATAAAAAAAGTTCACGCTCTTGCGTACGTGATGTATACCTTTAAATCACTTACGCTCATTAATTCACTAACACACGAGTTAATGTCTCATCGACGTGCTCGTCACGTTACCGTGATGTAGTCATGACGAAAAAAGGGAATTCGCGTAAAGTACGACAATGAGACATCGGGAAATTCGAGACGTCCCGGATATTCTTCAGACAATTATTTTTATTTTAAGAGATCAATTCTTGAGATTTCAATTCGTATAAAATAAGATGATAATTAAGATATGTTGAAATAATGACTTTACAACTTACAGATTTTAAATTATATAAAAAATATAAAAAGTTCTGGGAAAATTCATCAAATTATTATGAATTCTATTTTTTTATTATCATTATTATTTATTTATTTATCGTTATGAATTCAATTATCAAATTCATTATCTGTTTTTTTGAAAATGGAATAATTTCGGAATTTTTTAGCAATTTTTTAATCATCATGTGTAAAAAAATATAAAAATATAAAAAATTCTGGGAAAATTCATGAAATTATTATGAATTCCATTTTATTATTATCATAATTATTTATTTATTTATCGTAATAAATTCAATTATCAAATTCATTATCTATTTTTCTGAAAATGGAATAATTTCGGAATTTTTTAGAAATTTTTTAATCATCATGTGTTTTTTATTGCATTTTTGAGATTTTGAGGTGAAGTTAAAAAAATTAATGGAAAATTTAATTTTCGCGTATCAATCGATTAGAAAATCATTGGTGTTGGATTATTGGATTATTTTCAATGTAATACATGATCACTGATAAAATGAGGGTCATGATTATCAAGATTTTTCGGACGTCTTGGCATTTCCCACTTGAATTATCAAATATGGATATTCCGAAGTCTGCACTTAAGGTCATTGGGAAAAAACACGAAGGCAATAATAACACGAGAACATGATTCAACATTTTCAGAATATATTTCGATCAACACTTATAATTCTCTATGACCGGAATTGAGACGGATGGAATAATCCCTGGCAATTAATGTTTTTAATTAATCATTAAAGTATAATAGAGTAATTATTGTCTTTTTGTAGTATTTATCATTGTAAATTAGGCTCATGTGGATCAATCGGTGTGAAGACTGAAATAATATCATTTAATGATTCTCAAACGAGATATTAATTAATGATTACCTATCGTTTATTTGTACATTAATCCCTCTTTTGATAAATCATGCAACGATTAATTGGAACATTTAGTAGGGGAATTCGATATTTTAGTTTGTAGGATTATGGATGAGAAATTAATTGGGGAGTAATACTTGAAACGATATGTTTGTTTTACCAAGTGAAGCTTTAGCTACTTGACGCCGGTGAATTAAATAGGGATAAATAAATAAATCACAGATTTTTTTAAACGTGTGTCTAGGGCGTATTGACCTTTCATTGACTATGTTCCTAAGGCTTTTTGCATTCTTGTAGTCTCTCTTCAAGTATTTGTCATTTTTAGTTTGGAATCTCTTCGTTTTAAAGTAGAGGTGTTTCACCTGATGAATCCGAGATTTTTTTCGGTGGACAATTTTCCTTGTCGGTGCAGTTATTCGTTTTATCGTTGTCTTCTTTCGTTATTTCTTCGGTTTTCTTCGCTTGTTCGTAGTTATTCAGGTATTCGACAACTTGAGTGTGACCAAATGTTTTCGCTTCGTCTGCGGGTCGATTTCCCCATCTGTACAGACGAGAATTACAATTAATTCCGAGAGTTTAATTGCAGATAATTATGGAATTGATATTTTAATGAGATTCAGGTCCATTTTGGAAAATCGTGGAGCAGATCGATGTGCAAAAAAATAAACCGTTTTTACATTTTATAATTATTATGACTCCCTAAATATCATGAGCGTGCAATTAAAAAAAAAATAAATCATGTATTCTCATTATTATTATTATTTTTATTTATTTATCAATAATGAATTTATAACAGTTTGAAATTTTGGGATGAAATTCTCATTATTATTATTATTTCCATTTATTTATCAATAATGAATTTATAACAATTTGAAATTTTGGGATGAAATTCGAAATTTTTCATGAATGAAATTAAATGAAAATGATTTTTCATTAAATTTTGGGAGTAATTAAATAATTATAAAATGCAAAAACGGTTTATTTTTTTGCGTCAATCCAGTTGCTGAGAAAACTCAAAAAAAAAACGATAATTTTGGTTAACGAGGGGTAGAACATGTTTAAAGACTAGAGTACGGTGTAATTACAATTACCTGTCCTTGGGATCATGAGGTACTCCGCACTGTTCGATGAGAAATTCCACGCAATCCAGGTGCCCTTCACTGGCAGCCAAATGCAAAGCTGTCCGACCATCGTAATCCGACAAAGTCATATCCATTCCACTGAGTCGATGTCTGTGAATATTAAAATTCTATCCATCTCAATCTCCTCCACACAATAATTACAGCAATGGCTTTTCTCTTTTGACATTAACCCCGTATATTAAATATTGCACCAAGCGGAGGCACTAGTTTATCCAGATCATCATGCTCCTTTGGATTTTTCAGGAGATTATGTTAAGTGGCAAAATAAAAAAATAAACAACGCATATACGAAAATAAATGGGTTTTATTCAAAATAAATTATCAGGAAATCTACATCTAAATTTTTACACAACAAATTGAATAAATTAGGAATGGGGAGAGCGTATTGCTAAATTATACGCTTGATGGATTAAATTGTGATTATGAATGACCGGTCATGTGAAAAGTAATGTATATTTCCTGGACATTTAATTATTCACTGTCTAGTTATTGAAGTTATCACCTTATGAATTTTTTTTTTGGTTCAATGGAAGAGTTCAAGGATGACTCGCAAAAAGAATAATTTGGAAAATTTCCATTTGGAAAATTGTGCGATTGATAATTAATAAAAAATAAACAAAAAGCTGCAGTGGTTGTTTGTAGAAACAATTTAATAGATTTCATGTTAAAAATTTCACAAATTTTCCTCGCGGTTTTTCTCACTAAAAAAATTATTCCCGAAATTACAAATAAATTTATTAAATATCCAGTCGTCTTTCCAGCAATTTTTAGAATTATTTTTGGAATATTTTGGAAAAACCTCAGAGCTTTTGTAAGTGGGTCAGGAAATAAATAATTAATTAGCATTGTGTTCCGTGTTTTCTCGTATTCCACTCGTGCGCCAATGAGCGAAGCAGAAATAAAATCCAAAAGTATCAATTAACTCACCCCTTAAGACGCTCTAGCAAATCAACCTCATGTCTGTTAGCGTGCATTGAGGTGTATTTGTATGTTGAGTTTTATGTTGTTGAAAAAAAATTCTTCACATAATGAATAACTGACATGTAAGTGTGTAATGGTGCGAAAAATAATGGAATGAAATCGGTTAACAAATACACAGGATTTGCTGAGAAAAAAAAAACATTTCGTCGGTATCAAAAAGTGAATCAAAAGCTCATTAATTACTCTCATCAAATAATTACCGATTCGACTCTAGAGCCGATTCGACGAATGACTTTCGTGTGATGAAAAAGTTGAATTTCCTCTTTTATGAGCGCCAGATATTTTTGATACAAGTGATAATGCCTTCGTAAAAGAGAAAGTATTTTTTTTTCTCAGTGTACGTGAAGAGTATCACGTTACCAACCTGCGCATCCCCGTGACATCTCCACTAGCAGCACTGAATAGGAGATTAACGATTGAGAGGCCCTTTGTCTCGTACTTGTGCCTTCGAGGATCTTTTTTGTTCGTCGCATGCTTGAGATTATCGTATCGATGAAAATTGAATTCGTTGACGAGCTCCTCGCAGAACTGAACACCACGACAGGAATTGCCGAGGGGATCCAGAGGAGGTGACCATGTGCAGATCCCCATAACATTGGGGATTACCACCAGGAGACTACCGGATACACCGGATTTCGCTGGAATTCCCACCTAAAAAAAAAAACAACAAATCATTTCATCTTCAAATGAATTCTATCAAAATTCTCTCGAATATTCCACTATTTTATTATTTCCTCCATCTTTTATTCAGATTAATTCTCTAGATCGATAAAAATTAATGGACTAGAATTCAATTGCTTGGAGGGTCATCACTTTTTGAAATTTTCCTAGGAATTTATTCACTCTGTTTCTCTCTCTCTTAAATGAGGGGAAATAATTTCGTCTGTTTCGTTTTCAGGGGAAATGAAGGATTATTCGTTTTATTAGGAAATTTCAGGTAAATGTTTGCAATTAAAATGCAGAAATACAGATTTTAATTGCAATTAGGGAATTTCTGAGGGAAGAGTCAGGGATTTCTCACCCTAAAAGCGAATTGTCCACTGTAGTCATACATTCCACAACTGTGCATGAGACTCAAGACATCCCGCACAGAGTCTGGTCTCAAAACTTTTTCCTCAGTAATTGGACAAATTCCTCCATTAGCCAAGGTAGCAGCCATCACAGCCATAGCATCACAATTAGATTCCATAGCACAGCACTGAAATTCCCAAAAATATAAAAATAAAAATATGAATATTCAATGGTGAATTCAATAACTCACAAACAAAAATAACTGACTTGAAAATAAAAATCCATGATTTCTCGTAAATTAGTTTTGTCTGGATAGCAGTTGTGCTCTCTCATGTAGAAGCCTAACGCATAATTTCTGTCAGCAGCTTCTCTTTCAGACAGAAAAACTGCATTATTGAACCCAAGATTTTCACCACCTGCCAGTCTCTCGAAATAATTCATCGTAAAATCGAATTTCTCAGCGAGTGTCATTTCGGGTTTGATGAGACTTTTGAGTAAAGAGCAGACTAGAATGGCACCAGCATTGATCATTGGATTGTGCGGCTTTTCTGAAAGGAATTAACACGTTTGAACTTGTGGGGATGCTTTTGTTATTTATCACTCACTATTGTGATCCAGTACGAGTTCATTGAAATTCCTCCCTGATGGTTCTTGACCAACGTACTGGTGGACAACCTCCTGCCCTAGGCTCTCAAGAGCAATGGCATAGGTCAGTGGTTTACTACAACTCTGGAGGGTGAACGGAATCGTAGTATCTCCAATGCTGAAACGTTGTCCATCTATGGTGCACACTGTTATACCCCAGTAATCCGGATTCATTCGGGCTAGTTGGGGTATGTATGAGGCCACCTTACCCTCTGTATTCGTCTTGCATTTCCAGTAAAAATCTTCAATGTGCTTTGTAAAACCTGCCCAGTCTGGGATTATAAACTGGTGTCGAAATGCCCGGGATATCAGCACAATATTCGGATTTATTATCCTGAAAACAATAACCATTTTCTTTCTATCAGAATTTCATTCACGTTCATTCATTTTGCGTGGAGCGGTAAAAAATATTGTAACTGCTGTACCAGTATTTTTTTTCTCTGACGCTAAATTAATTGTTTATCGGTAGAGAACAATTTGGAATTTTTTGTAGGTGTTTAGGGAAGATTTTCATAATTATTCTTTGTACCTTTTGAATTGTTCACGATTGAGTTTTTGAGTCTCGTGAGATATACCTTCAGCACCACCTGATTTTAAATGCTCTGCCTTGAGATTGTCGTTTAATTCCTGAAGTCTAGGATCATTTTTTCTTAAACCAGTTGTGCGTAGTGCCTAAAATATTAATTAAGAATTCATGATAACCTCGTTTTAATTAGGTATTACGTAAATTAAGGAATTCTTACAGCCAAAAATTTTCCAACAGAGAGTAAATCAGTCTCCTCGTTCCTGAACATATCAAAGAGAACATCTTCTGCATTTGTCGCCTGATCCTGATCCTTCGTACTGTAATTTCATCAGTAAATAATTCATTGTGAAAATCAATAGTAAACAAGTATTGCAGGTGCATCTGTTTTGAAGCATTACGACATACCAAAACATATTTTTCAAGTGCCAGGATATGATCTAAGAAATAAATGAACCAGGACAAAGCGATAATTCTAATTCAAAATAGACGTCACAGAAAATAGATTCCTTTTTGTAGACAAAATCAAAAATAACTGAAAACAGGTGCAGACTCGTGCGAACTTGAAGGTAATTTTAGCACTTAATATGTACTCGGTGCATCAGATTGAGGAAAAACAAGAAAGGGTGGACAGATCCATTAAGAACGAGTGAGAATTGTGCTAAAAAATAATATTTATGTTTGATCATCTATTTCTCGTGATTAACATAATTAAAGTCAATTGTCTAGTAATTAATTGTCGGACATAAAAAACCAAGAGTTTCAGTTGAAGGAAATTATTTTTTTGAATGGATTTTGAATTTTATTTGGATTACAATTCCCTTTTCCACGAATTGTTATGGCAATGAATGCATTATTGTTTTTAAATGTTTTTTATAATCTAAATTGTTGCTATGACAGGTGGAAAAAAGTGCACAAATAATAGTTACGGGTCAGCACATAAAAATTATAACTACAACTACTAGGATTTTTTCAGTAAAAAAAATTTATTTGGCAATACTCGTCTGATTTTCCATGCAATAATAGCGCATGGTACTCACTACATGTAGTGGCTGTCGTGAATGAAGCTGTAATTGCTGAAAAAATAATTGAGGAAATAATATCCATAATTACAATTCGTCAATGAATTTCGCCAATTTTTTTTTCAATCTTTCACTGTTAATTTCGAAAGCTAAATCATTGTTAACGAACAAGTTGCTTTTGTTTGATTGTTAGTCGTTGCAAGAATTAATCAGGAAAAATAATATTTTCCTTTCTATTAGCTAATACGGTTGGTTGTTTGAAAATTCGCCTGCAGATTAGTCGTAAATCTCGCGGAATAAGACAATATGATTAATGTTAGTTATTTGTTTTACCGTTTCTGGTTGTTCGCCAGGCCAAAGGAACTTGTCAGTACCGGTTCCAAATGTGATGTTGGTCCGAGTCTCTTTGTCACGGGTAGAAATGCTCGTTTCTAATAAAAAATATTAAAGAAAAAAAAATGATAATTCCAAAATGCACGCAAAAAATTGAATTATTCCTCCAAAAAAATTATTTTCCTAAAATATCTCGAAATCTGAAGGAGATACGAAAATTTTCATTAAGACCTTTTTTCCAGGGCGAGATAAGATCTACAAAAAAGCCCTTATCAAATATTTTCTATCTACCACATTCGAGGATAGACACACGGAATAAAAATTCCAAAATCAGTACTCAATCAGTTTTTTTGTAATATCTCAGAATTGAGGTGGAAAATCTATTTTTTTATAATCACCTTTTTTATCGGATAAAACAAGATCTGCAAAAAAGTTTATTATAAAAATTGCTCTATTTCTCGTCGATCTCGAGATATTTCGCGAAATGTCATTTTTGGATCCGAGGGATGCATCATATTTCAGCCATCATTAATATATAAGACACAAAGTATTTTTTTTTTTCTATTCGAGGGTTTGAGTTCCCCATATTCAACCCTTATTGATCGCCCCATAGAAAATTGCAGCCGCCTACAACCACGTGTTTTCCTCAAAAAACACATGATTGAAGGGGTGCGGTGGGGATTGGTTGCCGGGGTGGCGCGAGTCCTAGGGTTTATTGATCGTTTGATGCATCATCCCCCGGTTGAGAATTTAAGCCGAAACCCCAAAGGTTCCATCCTACATCTTCTTGAATTCCTGAATCAACTGACAATCAGTGAATTAAAAAATCCCTTAAAAAATCATTGAAAACCCCAAGAAAAATTCCACTAAAAACCTCCCCGCCGTTCCATCCCCATTAAAACTCCAAAAATTCATTAACCCCCCGAAAATCATGATGGTATTCAGGTGAATGATCAGCTCGACGTATTTTCGTCCCAGAATTACGGTCAAAGTCGCCCACGTGGACGTGAGTCTCACGTCAGTTACTGTCACTGTCTCAAACCATTCGAATCATCGACCTGGGCTTTTCCTCAATCTTGATTATTTTCCTGATGAAAAAAGTAAATAATAAATTCACCTTATTACTCATGTGCAGCCTTCGGAGAGCAAATGCCAGGTTCGATGCCTTCGTCATCTTGACCGCATGAACCACTGCTTCCCGGTACATTTTTCCTTCCCCAAGTACTCCACCAGACAACTTTGTCAAACTTTTTTTGTTTTTATTAAATAATTATTCGTAAGTACCCGGACTCCTCTAGGGTACAACTCTCGTCAGTTATCTCAGATAATTGTCAGTTTATCTCAGTTAAGGGAAAGTTAATGACTTTTCTTTCGCACTTCACTTGTTTCCTCAAACAGTCATTTACATTTACACTGGGAAACCAAGCACAGCGTCTAGACGACTAGATGCTACTGACATTAATGTGCCGAGTCCAAAGGCATATAACGGCTAGTAATACCGACGTATTTCTGACATGCGCGATGATTTTTCGTCAGTCATTCACACGTGATTTAAATTCAATAATCAAATATTTTTGTGTCCCAGTGACTGATGCAGTGTTTGGATATCATCATCTTTATTGTCTCAAAAAATGTGTTCAGAAAGGGTTTATAGTACAGAGATTTGGAAAATATTTTCACGGAAGGAGAAGTACTAAATAATAAACTGATCACTTAATAAAATGTGAAAATTAAATTATTATTACCGCTAGTTCTATTGAGCTGCCAACAACGCTTTGAAATAATTGCATTCCAAATCACTTGAATGTCGAGATCCGTTGAAACTTACTATACGTATTTATAGTAATAAGTACAATTATTCTAGGAATTCTACGTTGATTTATGCACGAAGTAATGCGTTAACAAAATTGTACCATGTACATACAACACATGAATTTTTTAAAGTAAAAATGTTTAAGGCTTAATGTTTAAGGTGGATTATCTAGAAAAGATAATTTACTCCGAAATTCGGATTCCTAATTACTTTGACAATTAATCGTTTTTTTTAAATAATTGTTAGCTAGCGTTCTAGCGGTTGTCAACAACTACGCCGCTAGCTAACAATTATCGGAAAAAACGATTAATTGACGGAGTAATTAGAAGTCCCAATTTTGGAGTAAATTATCTTTTCCACAGTCCATCCGGGCCTTAAGAGTTCTTATCAAATACTTTGGTTCTCTTCAAATGTTTCTAATGTAACAGATCTAGGTATTACTCAAAAATTTACGTCTCATCACAAAATTATTTTTACCTCCACAGCTGTTATTATTGTTTAAGAACACAAGCACGTGTAGAGAGATTGTCTACGTTTGTACCATGTTCACTTGTTACTCAATGTTAACTCAAACAAATCATTATTTACATTCTAATTTGACTAATTCCGATCATTGTTTACCGCAGTCAACGTAACTATTGAAATACAATGAAAACTTAATCCCGTCAAATCTATTTTGACATTAAATAAAGCTCAAAATATCAGTCAAAGAAATATTCATTAATTAAAATTCATTAAGTCACAAAACTCAAGCATTCAGAAAATTCCACAAATTCGGAATCATTCCTCCGAATTTTCATTTTTTTTTTCGAAAATTTCGAACTCGTTCATCAAATGCATGAATTAAATACGAAATATTGAATGTTCGGTAAATGTATGGTTTGCGTTCACCAAAAACGATGATCATTAAAATATTAATTTCTCCGAGAAAAATTTATTCTTATTACCTCGGTATCCAGAAATAGAAAAAGAGGAGAAGAGAGGACGAAACAACAAGGAGAGGAATAAATGGAAAAACAGTTCAGAGGTAAACTCTATCGGCCCTGAAATTCCTTAAATCCCCATCACCCCCCGCTACGTTTTCGTCACGACTCTGGAAAACCCAGAGAACAATCTATCAACACCCATAGCTCCCACTTTAATTATTTCCCTCGAAAAATGGTGGCCATATCCATAATGAAATGAGGATAACCCATCCAATTAAATATGCACCATTCAGAATGATTTGATTGACGTAAACCAGACATTTACCAAATGTTCAATCGTAAAATGGAATTGAAAATTCAATTTCTCCGAATTTTTTGCATCAGAAAAATATTGTTCAACAATTTTTTATTCTGCATTCCTTTTTGTATCACTGAAATAACGAACAGAGCAGAATTGAATCGCGAAAGAGTATCCTCACATGGAGAAAATGATTTCCTGAACTTTTTAGATAACAGTGTCCTGATAAGCAGGTGGTCCACTGAGTACAAACTGTCTCTGACTCTGTCTAACAATATCATTTTTATTGGGCACTTGAGGCGTAGCTCTAACTCCATGATAATTACTGTAACTAGATCTAGCACTTGCAGGCCTGTTGCTGTACAAATCATCCATATCCTCAACATTAAGACTCTGAGTGCTTGTCTGTTGGAACGTGGGATTGCTCTGTCCCTGCCACTGCATGTGACCCATTGGAGAGTTTTGCCAGTTGTCACTGAGATTTCTGGTGGAGCTGGCATTCTCCCAGGTCGGACTGGTCTGATTGGTGATAGTGGTGTTGGAGTAATTTGGATCAGGTGTCCAGAGTGCAGGAGATGATACTGCCATGTTGACAGCCTCGGGCTGCCAATGGGTTGTCCTCTCCCTGTCCCAAGGGCCTGCTATTCTGTCATAATTGAGAGTACCTTGGGACAACGAGCTCATGTTCTGATTGGTCAAGCCAGTTGGTGTTGTATTGGCGTACAGACTCTCCTGCTGGTCCATTATCCGATTGACAGGATTCTTTCGACGTGACTGTCGCACTGAACTCCTTCGGTTTGATCTTCTCGTACCATCGCGTGATATCACTGATCTTCTCTTGACACGACGGGGTGTCATTGGTTTTGGTGATACACTCTCGTCCTGAATTGGTGGCTCTGGTTGCGAATACTCGATGCTGTACAACGGTCTCTGCAGCTTTTTCCGCTTTTTAATCGGTGGGGCTACAAAAAATTCAGGCTGTCAAGTCCCTATCCTATTAATTCATCCTCTTTCATAATCTCATGCGTTAAATTTATTTAATCTTTAGTCAACAACGTATTGATTTTTTACTGTGAATGATCTATCATTCACGAATGATCAATGATTTTATTAGAACCCCAGATGATACACCGTATTAGAGGAAAAATAGGAATTGTAGTAAATGAGTGAGAGGTTAAGGAAAATAATAAAAACAAAGCCAAGCAGTAGTGTTTCGCAATTGCAGTATTTATTATTGCAAATTGGAATGAATAAAAAATTTCGTGTAGTTATTACACAAAAAAAAATGAAAGTATCGGACAATAATCTTTATATTATGTAGACTTTTTTTAATCTAGTGATAAATCGATAGAATCTACGTAAATGCAAAGGGAAAAGTCTTAAATATAAATGTCATCTGAAAAATATGAGTTTCACATTGTGTGACTGAAATTTGTGATGTAAATAATAAAAACTTATTAAATAGTTTTTTTTTTAGAGTGGAATTCCACTGAAAGACTCTGTTCGAGTTTTACAGTTTAAACAGAGGAGTATAATTAAAACATAATTAATAATCAGTGCGAAAAAAAAGGCAGCAAACATCCGGATACCACTCCAATAAAATCCATGCTTGAAAACTCAAAAATATAAAATTATAATTTTTATCGGAATTCCTCCGTTCGAAACGTGCAAACTTCAACAATTGATTATAAAAATTAAATATTAAACACCATTCAGCACCGTTCATTACATATCACAGTACATACAATAAGTCTATTGTTTAAAAAAAACAGTAGTTTTACTTTTTTTTAATAAACACCACACACATAAAAAACAAGCATTCTACCATAAATCAAAATAACGAGGAGAATAAATTGAAATCTTGAAGTTATAAAATAGATTCACTGGATTAATACAGACTATTTTCTTTTCCTTGAATTGAACGTATGAAAGAATTCAACAGAAAATTGTAGATCGTTTAATCTTTTTTTTTTAATTTGTATTAAAAGGAAAAAGATGATTTTATGAATTCAAGAAAAAAAAATCAACTGTCATGACTAAAACAAACCGGATTATTAAAATTTCCACAAGAAATCGAAAATAACACGAACCACCAAAAATCATTGACAATACTTATCGCGCACTGGGGTTTAATTCGGATGACATCCTCGTTGTGAAGATCGAGCAAATGAATAATAAAAAAGAAATAAATAAGAGGGAATGATATTATGAATATATCTGAGTGTACGTTTACATAAAAGAATCCTCTATTCCAGTAGTTGTTCTAAAAAAATATTATTCCGTTTGGCAAGTCAAAGATACTTTGAAAATCTAACACTAACGTTTCATTGGCGTTTGATACAATTTATTTATTCATTAATTTTACTAGCATACAAAGATATAGGTCTACTATCTCTGTGCGTTTCATTAGAGTTCTGTTGATCGACAGCTAGACGTGGATCGGAATAAAAAGTTCTGAGAGGCTGTTCACGAATATGATCAGTAAAAACTCGGGGTTTGAATGAATTTCTATTTTGTTTAGGTGGTTGTGAGGGACGTGCTCTCCTCAAAACCGGTGACACAACGGGACTGTAACAACGCGGCCGATTTTTCTCAAATTTTGACTTGATGGAGCTGTTCAACGAGTCATAATCACCAGGTGGTGATACTGGTCTGTGCAAATGATCAACCGGATTTGAATAGTCGTTATAGTAATCGATATTCTCGATAATTCGTGTTGATGCACTGCTCTTGTTACTTCTAGTTGTATCGTGAGATGCCATCAGTGATTTAACGCGTTGTTGATGATGATTGAAGGGGGATTTGTCTTCATTTTTGGATAATGTACCGTCACGATAGTACAGTGAGGAATTGTTTGAGCCGGTTGTGCCACGCGTATAGCTTTGGTAGTTTTGATTAGATTGTGGTAATGAGGCTGGTGGTAGGGCCGAGTAGCTAACGTACATTGGATGCAACGGTGTATGGCCAGCAAGACCGAAGTCACCCCCTCCAACAAAGTCAACTGTAAAATTTCATTCAATCGATACCAATGTGCATTAGATTATCAGTAATTTTCTTCTTTTTTTTTACTGGGTTTTTTATTCTCTCTCATCCCTGATTGTTAAAGGTCTTGCTTTGTCTGGTATTATCGGGGAATTTAGGCTAGATAAAAGAGAGGGGAAAGATATTCAACTACTGACAGATTGACACTTCAGCCCAATAATTATTTGTTCTAGTCTAGTGTGCTTATCATTCTCCATGCGACAACCAGTGATACCACAGCGATAACAATATGTTTTATCTGGATAAGGGGTAACTTACCAGAATGGGGGATCAAATCCACCAATGAAATCGACTGGAAGTTTACAACCCGTTTTACAAGAGTACAGAGATAGCAATTCGTGGGAAAATAATCGAAAATTTACGAGGACAAATTTTAACGATTTCGATGAAAAATATATGAAAATGTAAAACGTGACTAGTCTATTTTTCACTGGTCGTTGAATATTATATCAGAATGTTTGATTGCTCGTTTTATCTAGCAAGAACTCACTTGCGAGAGTGGAAAATGTCGAAACATTAAAATCACGAAATAAAAATTGCCATGAATGTCTCATTAACATACCACGACAATATCAAATACTTTTCCCATAAATGCATAATCTATCCAATTTGCCTAGTTATGCAGAAATAGTCAATTTAGTGGTCAACTCTTCCTCCATTGAAAATATATCTTTCAATGCAGGAAAGTCCCCAAGTAATTTATTTCCGTGTCGGTGGTTTAAGATGTGAATGTATTCTTTGAATTATAAAATGTGGTTGTAAGCAGTGAGAATCGTTCAACAACTTGTTGATAAGAATTAAAATGTGCAAGAACCCAAAGCCTTTGGAGACTACCTTCCACCCCCTTTTCAGTATTAATACACAAGAATTTTCCCTTAGGAGTTAATTAGTCTGGGAATAGAATGGATTTACAATTCCAATACTTACAGCTGTCATCCTCCTCGAGATAGGCACGACTCAGGCAAATTCCCCCGATGATCGCCATGCACTGAAATTCATTTCCATTAGATTTTTCGATTTTTCATTTTTTAAATAAATGACGAACTTATACTCACCGCTAGGAGACATTGTGTTGATGCATGTAAGACTTCAATAACTTCGTAACTTAATACGCAGCCTGTAACATTAGTCGGTCGCACTGGCCGAAATAACTCGGGCTCTGTATAGTTGTAGTCTGCTTTGCAGCCTGGTCCATTAACCAGCCACCACGAAAAACTCCCCGTTCCAACATTCAGAATATCACTCTTCTGCGCGGGGAAAAAAAATCATTAGAATCATCATTATAAAAATAAAACGCTCAATGAAAATGGCCATTGAATCCAATTAAATACGTCAGGCTTTACTATTCACAGCTACTCACTGCTCTTCACATCTCAACATTCATTACAGAATTCAATATTTGCAGAATTTAAATTATTGAAAGATTGGAAGATATATTGATATTAAACTTGACGAGTTATTGTCGATATATCGCATTCAAAAATTGATGTTGAAGTCAAAATTCATTATCTGTAATTATCAGCCCAAAGGTATGAAAAGATTTTGCAACAGCTATTGCTGACGATCATTTAAAATAAAAAAAAATAAAAAAAAGATATTTTCGTCAACAGGATACGTACCTTGTCTAATATACCAACATCTAGGTAAAAACATATACAAAATATGTTCCATCCAAGCCACAGGGTGTCCCATATACAATACTAAACAAAGAAATAAGGTTGAATAATTTTTCATTAGAAAATTGGCGAGTGAAAGCTCGGATGCGGATGCTCACCGTTATTAAATATTTAGGTCTATACTGAAATGTTCCGAAGAAGCCGAGGATAACAAAAATAATATTGAAGAAATTGACCAGTATCGGGGCCCACATAAACCCCAGGAAATCGAACACCTGGCGCTCGACGGTTGTAAGCTGAAATCCAAAAGAATAAAAATTATCAACTGTCCACCTCCGCAATTAATACTCAATAACGATTGAAATGCAGGCAATGTCTTTCACAATAACAAAGAAATTTACTACATACGAATCATGTCTATTTGAGTTTACACAGCATTACGTTTAACGAGCGCTCTCAATTCGTTTCAATTGCTTGACAGTTTAAATACTCAGTCAATTATGACTCCCATGGGCCATTATTATGTCATCAATCAACCCAATATAATCCACCCAACAAATTCAAACGTGACAAAATATATTACGTAATTGATTCATCATAAAACCTGAGAAAATAAATCAAGTGCACCGAATTCAATTGGCCGCAATCACATACTCAATATCGCCGGAATAATTTCCCAACAATAACACGAGGACAATCGCGCATGCTAGATCGAGACGATTCAAATCTCAGATACGATAATCCCAACTTGAGATTTATCATCCTCGATAAGCGTTATCACTCGTTCATCACTTTTAAATACCCGACGGCGGTAAAAAAAAAAGGTGCAATGACTAATACCCTCAACCGTGAAAATTCATGATACATAGACGACATATTATCCCCATGACTCAACAAGAGATCCGACAAATTCAAATAGCTTGAAGAACCAGTCCTAGATCATTGCACCTGCATTTCCCTCGTCTGTCTCTCTCTGAATCCAGTAAAACCACTCACAAGTTGCAGTGTACATATTGTCAGTAGAAAGTGCCTTCTGCTGCAAAATCCCATGTCATTGGGACAATTGTGATGATGAAAATATAAAAAAAAAAAAATTCTTAAACTATTGAGTCGTCCACTTTGGTAGTAAATAGTGTCCGCTGATGGCACACGCTGTGAATTATTTCCATTTGATGTACTCCTAGTCTGACACGATAATAAACTCACACGACGCCATTTTCAAAGCACTTGTTCCCTGACTGTATTCTCGTGGATGACTGAGTGACATATCCGCTTCGGTTGGCTATCGTTGCCTGGACTACAGCTAAACCAGTTCCATCCACATCTACCCCCGCAATCCCACCTGCAACATCTATCTCACTTCCACCACTTTGTCAGATGGCCCAACAAGTTATCCTCTTTTTTTACTCATTCTCATTCCCATAGCGCACTCTTCAGTTGGAAATGATGAAAACTGTTCGAATATTTGTAACAGTCTGGCCAATACCTCAACAGGTCTACCAATGATAGTTTAAAAATAGATGAGGTCACGTTATTTGATTTTCATCGATGATCGATCAAACACGTCACTCGTCTCTGGATGACAGCTCGCGTAATGGCAGATCACAGCTGATTCACGAGTTCATTTTTCACTCAACCAATACGTGATATTGATAAATTCATTATTTCTCACCTGGTGCACTAATTCCAACGCGATATCACCAGGAGATGGTAAATTATAACTCTTTTTTCTTTTTGTTGGTTGTCGAGAGAATTGTTGCTGCAATGACAGGTGAATGATATGTTTAATTACTTCCTGCAGAGATTCAGGTGCTGGAGGGAATAAACGGAAGACTGTTGGATTATCTTGATGGGCTGATATTGTCGTCGTTGAGATTGATATTCTGGGGATCATCCGTGGTGTGATATTTGAGAGGTAAAGACAGGTTAGCATTTGGAATATTATTAATCTTTGTGCAGTGTGGGGGATTTATCGTGGGACTTGGTGGATTGGGGAGAATGGAAATTTTTTTTCTGAGTGATCTTATCAGGTACGGCTCGTCTAAGGTCTCCGGAAGGCACGTTTACCGTGCATAAAATATATGGCGATGGGAACTGCATGTTTCGAGCTGTCAGTTTCATCCTCTGGGGAACTGAAGAGGAGCATCACTCCCTACGAGCACTGGTTAGTCTGGAGAATATGTATTTTTTAAATCGCAGTGAATTCCCTAGTAAAAAATTAAATAAATGTGCATTTCGATGAAAATTTATGTCAAGTATTTATAGCAAGTAATTATAATTTAAAAAGGGATATCGAGATTTATCTTTTTTTCTTGGGGAATTAAATTTTTTAACAGAAAAATATCCAGTGGATTTTTCCTCAGGTTGTACATCATATAGTGGATCATTGGCGAGAGCATGCACCATTCGTCACTGCTGAATGGAACATATCAGATCCCCAGGAGTACCTAGATTTCATGAAAAATGAGGGTGTCTATGCCAGCGAACTAGAATGCACTGTTGCAACTAAACTCTATGGATTAAATCTCGCGATTTATCGGAGAGTCAGTGAATATGACATAAAGCGGATTTTTTATAATCGTGTCAGCATCACCAGAGAAACGGCAAGGCTTTTGTTCACCGGACGCTCAGATAGCGGTCATTATGACGTCCTGTTTCTTGACCCCTGAGATATTATACACAATGATCTCCCAGTGTATTAAAAAATCCTCCTAACAATTAGTGCATTCTCCAACGCCTTTACTAATGTAACAAAAATTGTGATCATTCGAGTGATAAATTATTGTTGTAATGAAGTACAATATAAAAAATTTAGCAAATTTGAGTATTTTAATTATCCGAGGGCATTTTTATTCTTTGAATCTTTCCGCCTTGAACTTTCCATTTGACCTTCCTGAATTGACAATTCAATTTTGGTATCCACTAGTGACGCAGGAAAATCTATACAACCTTGTTTTTAGAAAAAAATGGTATTATATAGAATTATATGGCGTTATCTTCGAAATTGCAGAAAATTGCGGAAAAGCCTGTATCATTTTCCGAGAAAAATCTTTTTTTCGGTAATTTTTCTGCTTCAAACAATCGATTAATTGGAGATTGGGAAAGGCTGAAATAGGATTCTTTAGGAAAGGAATCAGCACACCCTGTCACTCCCAAAATGGTGATAATCCAAGTGATAATTGTGCGTAAAAATGGATTGGTGCATTGAAAAATTAAAGAAGCATCAAAAGTTCACAGGTTTTTACGGTCTTCCTTTGTCGTTTTATTTGTACAAAACCAATGATATAAATCTTCTATGATATAAATTTTTTCAATATGACAATGAGTATGAGATTTACAATTCGATGGAATAACAATAGAAAATGACTTTAAAAGGGATCGTCACATCCTTGCGTGTACAGCCATCGCGTGATATGCGTGATGGCCCTGTGAATTGTGCAACTGCAGCAAAAAGATATTTCAATAAAAAAAAATGCGAGTTTTCTTTTTAATCTGTTCATCGAAGCGTTGACATACCTGATTCGGTACAAAACTGTGGACCACCAACTTCCGGATAAACAACATTGATCCCTCCGCACTGCCTGCACCACATCTTCGGCAACTTGTTCTTCACTTTGAGAGAACAATCTGTCGAGAGTAAATCCAAAAATGACGAGGTAATTCCAGGAAATAAAGAGCTGTCTAAAGAAAATTAATAATCACCTTGGATCTGCCTTCGGTGCGACTGTGATGAGATTAATCTGACCACCTCGACTGCTAAACTCCTGACCTAGACTCTCCATCAGTCCTGGAGCAAAAAAAAAATTACAGGAATTGTCACTCACTCTGATTTACGAGGAGGCATGCATGTCACGGACAAGTATCCTCTTCAAAGTCAAGATAATTAAATCTTATTGGAATATCAAATCTCTGAAATACAATCGCCACCAAAAAAAAGTCAAATAGAATTTTAAAAAATTTTCTTCTTATCAATTCTCTAATGAAAAAGTCATAAAACGAAATCCGTCACCGATCGATTTCGCCTTGACATGATTATATACATTATTATCATGTCAAGGTATATATATAAACAAAAATAATAAATATGAAATAAAATAATTACCTCCATACATATAATTATTTTCATTCATTTTTATTATTGTTTATATTTATAACATACACATCTTCCATCAATTTAAATTCATTCCACTATTTTTCCTTTCGATTAAAAAAAAAAGGATTGGCATGTCAAGGAATAACTGCCAGAATGAATGATTTCATAAAAAATTCTTTTGGAGTACAGCAAGCAGTCGCTCCATACTTGCCATAAAATTCAGAGCATGTCATAAACTCATCATTTATTTAATTACACAGTTATAAAGTTACCTGCAATAGCAGCACGAGTGCCCCTGTAAGCATCCTGAGTAGAAGTAGTCGGTGTAACACCAACAACATGAGCTCTCCGCTGATGCAGCATAAAAGGGATGAAGGCCATCAGAGTCTGCAGAAAAGGAATAAAAATTAACCGAGGAATGGTCGAATTTTCTCAAGACAACACGCCATTTTACTCGTCTCGGGGTGATCATAAAGTTTACAATGGAGTTCGCTCACCCAGTAATGACTCATCAAGGTTGTGCTGACAGTATCAAATATGTCCTGTCCACTATTACCAACGCACGTTACGAGTGCATCGACTCTGCCTATTTCATTCTTAACTCGACCAGCAAATTGTCTTATCGCATTTCTATTTTTCAGATCGCACTCGTATGCCCATACCCTTTTACACCGATCATCAGTGGCATCCTGTTTCCTGTGGCCTGGCCCAACACCCTCGATCACTGGGTACTGGCATTCAAGTTCACTCGCTGTTTTTCTCACAGACTCGAGGTCACTGTCTACACATACTATCGTACAACCAACTTTAGCAAACGCTTCAGCAAGACATTTACCGAGAGACGACGTTACACCTGTTATCTGAAAGGAATATCAATTACTTCTCAATTACGCTCATTGTCATTTTATTTTTATTTTTGTCAACTTGCAACATGATTATTTATATCAATCAGACGTTAAAATAATGATAATCCTTTTACCAAAACAATATCTCCGGTGATATCCCTTGGAGGTTTAGGCAGAATAGTCTTGATAATTCCTAGGAGTGATAATGAAGCTGAAAAGACTGCGGCCAGGAGAAACTCAGCAAGTAAATAAATCCAAACCGTCGAAGAAGGTCCTCTGGGTCTCGCGTTGACGAGAACATCATCACGTAATGGTACCATAACTGGAAAACAATCATTTGTCAACGACACATAATAAACAATTTATTGAACAATAAAATATATCTTATAAGGTGAAAGATGATACCATGCACATGTGATGACATTAAAATTGTAATTAACGACTTGATCAGTGTTTTCAGTAGGAAATCCACTTTTTTCTCTTCATCATTAAATTCTGATTGTGCCAGAACTGCGTAATTCAAAATTTTTTAATGAAGTATTTGCATATCTGTACAATGGAGGGGAAAATTACGGAAGCTCTTGGATGTGCAAAGTTCAGAATCCTGCAGTAGCAGGAATAATAAATTTGCGATTGAAATAATCATGGACAATGCTCATTTATTCTTTTTGACAATTATGCATTCAATTGAAAAACTGGTAGCGTGAAAATTGACAGGTTGTTTATAATTTTACAACGGAAAACGAGAGAATTCAGGATGGAATTGAATTTTCTCCATTAGAAATACGAAAGTGAAACGATTAGCTGACCTTCTATCTGCGTCATTAGCATTCATTCATACTTATGAATAATTGAATGGAGTAATTTATCATTACAAATGAGCGAGCAAAGAGGCCTAGTCTATGAATCCGATGATAACCATCGGTTCAATTGAGGCAGTTCTCATATTTTCATTGCAGCCGTCAATTTCCCATCCCATAACTCATTTTGCACTTTTAATTTTTCGAGACTCATGATTTATTCCATCAGGAAATATAAACTATTTCTCTAAATAATTTCATGTAAATGAGAAAATTCGTAAATTGTGATTTTTTTTTTCGATTTTAGAAGAATTGAAACGACAGGTTGCAATTAAATGATTTTCAATTAACGGAATTAAATATATGTAATTCTCATTACATATATTTAAGTATACTAATTAATTCACTATAATTTATATCTCAATTCCTGATGGAACAATGCATTAACATTTAATGGATTGTGCCATTAATTATGCGGAAATACTTGAGGAATTCAGAAACATTTGGAGTTGTAATTACTGAGTCATTAAATAGTGCAATGGCAATTAAATTTATCGATAAATAATGGGTTTTAGTGGTACAGTTAATGGTTTAACTAATGGTGCTGATGCAGACGCGTCATCAATAAAAAATTATCTAGAAAGATTGATTTGTCATTTGTGGAAAATCTCTTATCAGTTTCTCGTTGGAAAACCGGTATGTGAAAATGTAGTTCACGCCTTCGATTCGCACTCGTTCATTCGTCTATTTCAATTTATAACGATTCCCCCATCAATTATCGATCCCCTCATATTCTAATTATTGATTTTTATCTCATTACGTCACGTGAGTCGCAATTATACATGACAGCGACCGACGACGTCATAAATATCGCCGCGCATTTTTTCCTCATCAACTCACGATCGTGAGAGATAAATTATTAAATTATTATTGATTAAAATTTGGAGGGGACAATTTTCCTGAATTATATTATATGTATTTTTTTTTTAATACATTTTTATCAATTAATTTATAGCAGATGAATTCAAAACTTTTATGTCGAAATCATTATGTCGATTAATTGGGGCTGATTATATTTTCGTATTTTATTAATTAATTTAATTAATTTCATTTAATTTATTAATTAATTTAATTTTATTAAAAATTGATAGCAATATCAATATTTACCCTGAATTCATATCTCACCACGAGGAAATGAATTCCGTTAAACAAGTTTGAGGCATTAAAAAAAATCAGATAATTACATTAGATCATAGCTATCAGACTCAGGAAGTCTCAGATAAAAATGCAAATACATAGACTAGAGTAGACGAGATCTGTAATTTTCCCATATACCGGGGATTGATGGGCTTCCTATAATGAAATTTGAACTCTTGTTCTGAAGAATTTTTGTATTAAACGTATGAAACCATTTCTCCAATCACAGTATTATGCAAACGCGGAAAATCCAATGACTGGTAAAATAATGTTGCACAATTGAATGAAAGTATGATGTTGGGATTATTTAGGGAACATTGTCTAATAGATGGATTAACTGATACGAGTTTTTAGAGCTGGTGGTATTTCATGCTCTAATAATACTGTGCAGAATTCAACTCAAGTTATTTTTTTTTTATTTTTAATCCGGCTGGGGTGCTACCAATCGACATAAACCGAGTATTCGGTAATCTATAAATAAATTACGGTGGATGTCTGCAACAAATTGCAGTTAAATTCAATTTACACGGTTTTATTAAATATCTTGTGTATTACCCCATAAATTGGAACATTTTATTGTGAATCGTTGAATAAAATTAGGGTTTTTAAATTATCAGGGGGGAATGGAAATATTAAATTATGGGTTTCAACGTGTAGTTGGAGTTTGGTGAAACAAGAGAAAGGAAGATCTCTCTTCAAACAGGAAGATCTCCACTCGTTTTAAGGATCTATTACATTATTTCCAGTGGAAGAAATGGAAAAATTTGTGGACTGAAATAAATGTTAATTATATACACTTCCGTCATGTTTTTTTTACGCTTGAAATCATTTCCGGAATGACTTATGATTTTTGGGTGATTTCCTTGGAATTAAAATTCAGGGCCAATAACGGGAGATTGGCATTCCGATAAATTAACAAATATTCTATATTTGTGAAAATAAAATGAAGGGATTGTTTATTGTTCATCGATATAAGTATTGATATTTTGAAATGCATTTCAAGGATAATTTGAAGGACAGATTTGAATCGACGTTTGAATATGATGAAATGATTTTTCAGTTGTCGAATGAATTTCTGGCAATCGGTCCAGCAAGATTTTCAATGATAAATCAGTGATTATCATAATGATTTCATAATCGCTGGGTAGTACAGATAAATTATCCACTCCTGTCATGGATGTCTTTCCGATTTCTATCAATCATCTAATCTCGAGGAAAAGAATCATTGCACACTTCAGTACTGACATTTTTTCTAAGACAATTATTCTCTCCACAATGTTCACACCACGAGTTTTTATGCAAATTTAGCAAAAACTTTGTGCGTATTTACTGAATAATGCGAATCACTTAGTCTGAACCCTGACATCCGTCGATTTTAGGAAAAAAAAATTATTCTCTTTTGATTCAACTACATTTCTACCCATGTATATATTTTTAATTCGAATGTTTAAAGGCATCACTAAAAATTGGAAATTCCACATTTCGTGAATTCCGTATTTATTGAAAATATGAAAATATGAAAATATTAAAATATGAAAATATTAAAATATGAAAATATTAAAATATGAAAATATAAAAATATGAATATATGAAAATATGAAAATATAAAAATATAAAAATAAAAAAATATGAAAATATGAGGGATTGTCTATCACGGAATAATTAAATTATCATAATAATTATGACGTGTCACGCCACTACGATGAAATTATAATTCAAGTGGAGATGATTCAGGTATCAATTACGCAGTTCATGCGCTTCTCGTAAGTTCTTTCTAATTCAATATGCAAACACAAGAGAAAAAAAAAACGATTTGTTCCCGGCCAATTTAAACAGGTGGACACGGATTCTCTATTTGTTTTCAATTTCACCAGCATCGCCTACCACAGGCATGCAAATATTATCGCGAATTCCCGAGTCTGTGAATTTTCTACTGATTCAATAAATAGAATTATACCAGTGAAACTCACTCGATAAATTCAAGATAGTGAAGAATACTGAAATCTAGGATGAATACTAAATTTTATGACCGATTGAATTTTTTATTGAAATTTTTATTGAAAAACTCAAGACTAGACGTCCTATTATATATTTCTGATATTATATAATTTTGAAAAAATTCATTTACTTGAGATCCCAAGTCCAAGTCTTTGTCAGTGGATGTAAATCCCAAAAGTCAGTAGAAATCCACCAGAGGTATCACGATAGCACCACCGAAGTGTTGAGGTGTCCAGGATTTATTCCAGACTCAATTCCGCACAGGACACAAAAAATAAAAGGGACACATGAAATTATCCACTAGTCACAGGTGTTCATCCCAGCAGGTGATTCAGGCAGCACCGGTGTGGAGTCTCCAAGTGAGTTTATCCTACGAATCGGTGGTCAAGCAAGGCATGATGGTAATCCCACTCGTTTTCGCTGGAACCTACCGACAAGACCACCTGAACTTGACTGTATGACAGTATTGGTCCAGTGGCTCACCCACCAGTTCCTCTGTTTTCAGTTCCTCCCAGAGAAGTTACTCCAGTCAAGGTCGAGGTATTCACTGGCGGTTGTGATTCTGCTGGAACTGTTGGGGCATGATCGAGAGAACTTCTAAATCAATAGTTTTTTTTCTGAAAACATTATTATGAATTTATCTCGAGAAAATTGATTCCCAGAATTAATTACACCGAATTGATCATTTGATCACTTATCATAGGACAATTGATCGCAGAAAAAATATTATTGTGTAATTATATCAATATGACTCAATATGAAATGAGAAAGTTCTCCCATCAAATTCAACTATATTATTTATTATTATTTGATATTATCCACTCGTGATGGAAATAATCTGTCGTGAAACGAATAAATAGGAATTAATTGTGGTGATACTCCATTATGAGTTGAGTTAATTGTAAAATGAATTTCGAATTTTATTTTTCACAATGGTATTGCATAAATTTTTATTGGGCTTGTGAAAATCTATTGCAACATTTTTGATTATTTAAACCACAAGTCCTGCGATCGTAAATTTGATTTATGAGTTGTATTCTTGATCATGAGTTGCCAGGAAAATAGGGGATGGCCCAACTTTCATTTTTCATGACTCGTATTTTTTCTTGAGGGATTGCAAACGATCAGCTGGTGGTTTCAAATGAGAATATATCGGCGATTTCTTGAAACTCAATTTATCCGTCGAGAGATTCATTCATAAATCTTTGAGATTCTCCCCTGACTAATTCATTCTGGAGAGACAAAAATTCCTTTCAATCTTACGTAATCTCTATACTTGGTTGCCATTGGATGAGTTAATAAAAAAAAATAATAAAACGTTATCGAGATAATATTAAGAAGAACGTACGTTGATCTCGAGTTCAGGTCAACTCATAGCTTCCATTTTTCAAGAACAAACTGGTAATAAAGAGTTCATACGAAAGTCTCTGGCCCATTCAAGGTGAACGCTCAATGGGGAATCCCTCAAATTAATTACCAATCAGGCCCACAAATGTGAGGATGAAATAATTCAGGGCTCAAAAAAATTTTACTAACGATCCCTAAAGGAACTACTGCTGATATCTTTTTTATATCATTTTTATATTTAATATTTATTTTTTAAGAAAAGGTTTATCATTGGCCGATGAATCGCAAATCTTTTATTTTTTATTTCAAATTTCAGAAAATGAAAATTTTTTGAATTTCGCCAGAAAGGTCGCAACTCCTCTCAATTATCTAGATTAATTACAAATTAAAATTCATACAATAAAATTATAATTCAAATATTATTCTCATATTTTTTCGGTCTTTGTTCCTCGGGCGGGATTGAGGTAGTACCAGCAATCGATTAATTGCAGGATGTATTCATTCATTACCACAATAACTGTTTCCTGGGGAAAAAAAAGTTGATGAGGTGCTCATGTAATCGTAGTGACCATTCAGCTGTCCATAAATATGCCAACGGCTCATTGTTAATTTTTCATAATTCACGAATGACTCACCGGTTTATTGAATTTTCAGAGAGTGCCACTGCCTAAATGACACGTCAACATCCTCAGAATTGGACAAGAGTAAATTTCGTAAAATCTTTTCATCTAAAAACGAAACGTCAAAGTCCATGTACTCACATAATTTTTTTTTAATTTTAATTGTGTGAAATACCGTTGAACATGAAAGTTGCCAGCAATAATGAAAAATTAATAATCCGTAGTCTATCGAATTTTGTAATGCATTTATGTAACGCTTTTCAATTTTTAAACATTATACATTAAATATCGGTTTATGCATGAGTTCTCACATTTGTATTGAATGACACGTGTAAAATTCACATTAGACTCTGATTACAGTGTAATAACCAATGGATACTCATGATTGGAAATGGAAATTTGCTGAATAATTTAATGAACGATTTGTAGTAACAATACGTCTAATTACTCCAGTGTAGATTAATTTTCCTATCGCCACGCAATCGCATATTCCGAGAAATAATCTGAGAGGGGATCGATCGAAAGAAGCGTGATTTTTTTTTCTAATTATTCTTCACAGAAAATTATTATAAAAACCTCATTTGCCTGTATGAAGAGGAAGAATAATATTTCCTGCGTCATATTCAGGTGAAACTCATTTCTTAAATCACTCAACATTTTTTGCGAGATAGAAAATTAATGATTAAATCCACCGATGACTGTGGAAGACTCCTGAAATGTAGGAAGTGAAATAGTTAAAGGGTTGCAGTGATTGAAGTTTGAGAGAACTTTAAAAATATTTGGATTCAATACCCTAGGATGGAATTCAGAGGACAAAGCCATTTTGGGATGATATACTCGTTATAATTCCTCTGTACTGCCCTCACTATTTCCCCAGCTGCATATTCCGGTGAAATCGCACCGAAAATCCATGAGAACCTGCGAAATCAGGAAATGCAACTTGTAATTATTGTGTATTAGATAACGCCTCAGCAATAACCCACGGTTCATAAAATCCTAACTGTCTAATTACGACCATATTTGAATCAATTTATAATACTGAAACATTCTCGTGACGATGAATTATATGACACAACACAGGGGCCACTTGTTTAGTAGAATTTGCAATAAAAGTTGAAGGTAAATAATTGGAGCAACTGCCAGTCTTGTAGAGGCACTCCAAATAAATCGTGTATTTTAATAACATCATATTACTCCATCGCTTTCACTCTCACCTGTATTTTGGATCCTGGGCTAGACCAGTGGCTACGTAGAAGGGGTAGATTGTGGTGAAGTGAATAAATTGTTGGGCCTTATACTCTTCTCGAAGTCCCTTCATTAATCCTGTACTCAAACCAATTGCGTCAATTTTTTTGACATGTAAAAAATTTGGAGGAAAATTTTTTAGAGTCAATTTTTCGTGGATATAAGAGAATTGAAGGGAGATAGCGAATTTTTTATGGGAATATTTTTTATAGGGAAGGATGAGACCTACAAAAAAGGTGTCTAGGAAAAAATCGGTATCTCCTTTGAATTTCAAAATATCGGGGGAAAACCGTTTAGCTACGGAATTAGGGCTTTTAGTGTATCGTTATTTTTATTTTGGATCTACCTCGAATCGCGAATTTCGATGCACAATAAGTGATTTTTTGAGACACACCATAGACTCCACAGAGACTGGAAATAGCTACGATGTGACCTTTTTTATTCTGCAGCATAATTGGTAGAAATGTTTCAATGGTCTAGAAAAATAATAAAATCGTTATCCAAATGAATTAATCATTCATAATAAAATAATTATTTAATTTCTATTAAATACCCAGAACTGAGAGAAAACGTTAACTCCAAATGTCCTCTCGACATCATCAACATCACGATCAGCGAATGATTTCTGCATGAGTACAGCTGCATTATTTATCAGAATTGTCACATTTGGTACTCGATATTTTCGCATTAATCTCGCAGCCTCTCGCACTTCTATTCTATTCGATACATCCACGACGAAATCGTAGGCCTGGAAGAATATTTATTTATCGTACAAACTGATAGTTCTATTTTTCAATCTCCACCTATAAAATTTATTGAGGTACTTCTCCTCCGGCTTCGATTATAGCATTCTTCGTATTTAGATTACGATCCTTATCAATATCCCAGCAGACAACTATACAGCCCATTTCAGCAAGTTTTATAGCCAGCTCTCTTCCAATTCCATGACCAGCACCGGTAACCTGCACATCAACAAAAATGAAGAAATGAAAAATTTGAGATTGATTCAGTGAATGACCAAATGCATATTCATTCAATGGGAATTAATATCCCTGAATTATAGCAAATGGATTAGAAATTTATTCTCCTCGATTGGAAATTTATTTAAATCAACTTTTAGCCTCCGGCTAAAGGAATTTATGAAATTCAAATCTATCCAGGCGATTGCATCAAACTCTGTCAACAGATATCTTTGATTACCTCAGCCAATTGATACCTGGAGAAATTTATCCAGGGGGAATTTATCCAAACGTTTGAGGGTGTTCTGTGAATTTTAAAAAAGGGGATTACCAGAACTGTTTCACCTAGGAGACTCTTCCTGGAAGGTGGAATGACACATCTGACACCAGCTGTCAATAAAGATAGAGTCACTTGGAAGGATAAAAACGTCATGTCGACAATCAGACGTGAAACTCTCGTGACAGCCTCCACGAGGTTCATCCTGTAGATCTCTTCTGAATGATTCCTGAAGATAAAATAATTCTGAGTTGATGCAAAAAAATTTATTCAGCTCACGTTTTACCTTTTACCTTTTACCCTTCGATCCCCGAAGATTATATTTAATATTCAGTAGATATAATCCTGGAAAATATTCAGAGATTCGAATTCTCGACTGTCAACTGGTGGTTTGACACCGGCAAACTTCTGTCAATAACAATTTAAACGTGTCTCAACCCTGAAGAATGATTGATTAACATGATTAACAAATTAATTCTTTAAACAAGTGATTGGAAAATGGACGCCTTGTGGACCTGGAGGGATCCCCGACTCGTTCGTTGTTGGTTGGAATATTTCACATTGCTCTGGAAAGCAATTCTCATGAGAAAAAGGAATTTAATTTTTTCAACTCTTGAAATTATCATTCCTATGATGTGCGCCATTCAAATCCGATTGATCTTCGAGCCACTGGCACTGAACATCCAGGTGTCATTCAATCTTCATCCATTAATATCATAATGATATCGTTTTTTTGGTGACAATCTCATTAGATTTTCATTTCCAATCTCTACACCTGCAGGATGTAAATATTCACAATGAAGGAGAAATTCTGTCGTACATTCCGGAGGAAACAAATTATAGATACGCCCCTCGAAATAATTTCTTCACTGCTCTCATGGAGAAAGCATCATCAATCATCCAAAGACCAAGTGCAGGAATATTAATTAAATACCCAGAAAAAATAGGAGCTCATGGTAATGTCTGGATATTTATTTTTAGTTTTACCAGCCACCGACGAGAAAGAACTAGTGAAGGCATTCCACTTCAAAAATAAAAGCACAACCTCGGGACATGTCATTTGGATAATATTTCAAGTATATTATCCCCATGAAAACACAATTTCTTTTTCAATTTCACAGCTTTTATCATAATTTTATTAAATATTTCGAGGAGAATCATTCGTCCGCACCTCCAGAAGTATTGAACTACAAAATTCGAACGAGAATGTCTTCAGGGTTTGACGATGATGCAGGTGAAATATAAAAGTTAACATTCCAAAAAATTACTGTCATTTAATAATAATTGCTATAATTTAATCATGATTTTTCAATCTGCTTGTCTCTGCAGATATTTACATGACTGGCGGGTTTATGGCGATGCAAATGGCAGTTGAATCCTCATTTATTCAGATGTGGAATTCGAAAGATTTACGTCTTGCTGAAGACAATGTACGTTATTACTCCTGCATGAAGGAATTGTAATTAAATTGTTGTCCTAATATGGATTTCACTCTCAGGTAACAATTGGACAATTTCCATACCACAGAATCCACTTGCCAGTGCTGCCGTCCACAGTGCGACCGAATATAAGTCTCATTTATTACTTGACAATTATAGGATTCCTCTTGATTCCCATGACAACCCTGCACAAGTCAATTCATGATAAAACGACGGGTTTCAAGGTGAATGCAATTAATTTTATATTTCCTGAAAATTGGTCAGAGAAAACTAAAAGAGAAAATCATAGAGGAGTCATTAAAGAATGAGAAGAGATCGGTAATAAAAATCCTCAGGTTGTGACGAATTATTTCCGGATGATTTCTCCATTTTATCAGGCCCTGATGAGGATCCTCAGGTTTCCTCCAGGATCAATGTACGTTGGGTGGCTTCATTACCTCATGATCACAGCAATACCAGCCACCATGATCGTCACCTACATTCTGTCCCCGATTTATTCAAACTACGGAGCAATTGTCCTGGGTATATTCTTCATGATGTACATAATAATGTCCACTACGATTATTCTAGCTATTGGCGCATTTTTCACACACTGTGAGTTCCTGTAAATCAAAACTTCAATAACGAAGTGATAAAACTAGGATAACTGTTTTTTACTAGACCAGTTTTCAGTGAATATCCAAGAATTGGAGGAACATACCGAATTTTTTATAGAGACATTATTTCTAGAAAATGATGAGACCTACAAAAAAGGTATTAATGAAAAAATCGGTATTTCCTTTCGTTTCCAAGATATTGAGTGAAAACTGGTTGAAAATGCAGTTATCGTTAAAATTGTTCATAAAAATTATCATAAATAATCTTCCACTCCATTTTTCCAGCTATAAAAGCTGCATTGGCTTGTTTTATTTTTTGGATTTTCCTGGCCCACGCCACGATCGTCGTGGATGAATCAATCATTGACTCGGGGCTTCTGATAAAAACAGCGTCATTATTTCTTCCTCATAGCGGATTAATTTACGGTCTAGCCAGTTTCACATCCAGGAGTGAAATCGGTAACTAAATAATAATTAATTAATTAATGTGTTAACATTTAATTCATTACCCCTTTTTAAAAAAATCTAAAGAAATTAATCTAAACTAATTTAGTTTTTAAATAATCAATTATTTATTCACAACTCTTTGTACGTCCTATCAACAATCCATTTACCTTTCAATCATATTTTTTCGATATCATCCGATCTCTGAATTTTTTACGCAGCAAAATTGCCGGCTATACCCACAACCTTGAGAATTAACGGATAATTCCCGCTCCTCGCGATTTTTTTTTTCACTCTAATGATGAGATTACTATTACTCATTACTATTCCGATCGGTGATATGCAAAACGGAATGTTTAATAACTGTACATAATGATTGAATTAATTACAATCCCATGATTGATCGAGCTTCAATTTATCAAGATCATGATGTTCCAGAAACTTTTGCTGATGAATCAATGACTTCTGATCATAAATATCGAGCAATTGAATTAACGAACGATAAAAACAGAGTGACGATTGCTCTAGTACTGCTTTTCTGGAGCTTTCATATAGTCGCGTGGCACAAGATTGGGGTTTATTTGGAAAATGTTTTCCCGGGAAAATGTGGAACGCCCAAGTCCTGGTATTACCCCTGCAAAGTAAAACTTTATGAGGATAATAGAAAATTTTCTATTTGTTAAATCATCATCTCACAGAAAAAATATAAACGTTAATTCATGAAAATTATTACTACCGCAGAGATTGTAAGAACTTTTTTATTTTATCCTAATGATGATTAATAATTAATATGAATGCAATTGATGTTTATATTTTTTTGTGTTCAATGTGGGAATCGCGGAAGTTCTGTTCGATCTTTTTTATATAATCCATTATTTATAGACCACAAAGAGACCTTCAGACATTTTCGTGACATTCCGAGGAAGTACCAACTGGTCGGCTGTGGAACGAGCTCCTAAATTTGTCCAAGTATTAATCCATAAATTAATAACTCATAATAAAATGAACACTTGAAAAAAATACTCCCTTGTAAATTCATATTTTGAATTTTACGTTATTATTCAACCGATTCTTTCTCGATGAGAGTCTACACCTGTTTTTACACATAAATTAATTAACTCGATGTACACTTATTATTCAGTTATTAATTTTCAGGCTAAAGTGAGAGTACGCCAAGTGACAATGAGGTACGGAGTTGCACAGACACTGGAGGTATTGAGAGACATGTCCATTGATTTTTACCCGAACGAGTTCAGTGTGATTCTTGGACATAACGGAGCTGGAAAGAGTAGTTTATTAAAAATAATGGCAGGTAAATTTAATGAAACTCCCACGACTACCCTTACGCTCCAAAAAATTGATTGAATTCATTTTTGAAATTGAAACGAAACGCAATTCGCAATGATAATGAAGTAATGATTAATCTCTTGCATTAATTTCACATCTAGGCATGTACAAGGCAACTAAAGGCAAGATTTACATCGAGGGTCGTGACTACAGCGATGAAGATTGGTCCGAGTACCAGAAGAAGACGTCAATTAGTTACTGTCCACAAGAGAACATACTCGTAAATTACCTCTCCACTTTTGAACACGTGCACCTGTCTGGAATGGTACATAATTATTCACTATTCAGACTAGTAGACAAATGAATAATTATTGAGAATAGATCAACAAATTATGGAAGGGTGTACAATTTTATTGTAAATTGAAAAGCTGCAGTATTTCAACGAATGAGATTAGTTTAATTCCATTTCCTTTCGTTGCCTCGATCATTACACCTTATTATCATCATTATTTATTTAGTACATAATTATTCACTATTCGGACTAGTAGACAAATGAATAATTATTGAGAATAGATCAACAAATTATGGAAGGGTGTACAATTTTATTGTAAATTGAAAAGCTGCAGTATTTCAACGAATGAGATTAATTTAATTCCATTTCCTTTCGTTGATTCGATAATTATACCTTATTATCATCATTCAATTTATGACACGTTTCATTTTATCACTGGATTCTGCTAGGATGTCTTTACTTTATCGTTAGGATTTTTTTAGATGAAGGAGATGGGTATCAGAGAAGCTAAGGAACGAGCCATGACTCTTCTGAAGCAACTGGGATTGGAGAATGAAAAAAATCTCTTGATCAAGGATTTAACGTTTGGTGGGAAGAGACGATTGTGTCTTGCGATGGCGTTGATAGGACAATCAGAAGTTGTTTTCAGATAATTTTTTGTAGAATCCATAAAGGGGCAATTATTCCATTTCTTTTTCAGATTTTGATCCTCGATGAACCAGCGTATGGGCTGGATCCTCAGCATCAGAAACAAATTTGGGATGTTTTAGCAGCTTCGAAGGGGCATCGGACTGTTATCATGGCGACGAATTCGATGGAAGCTGCGGACACTCTCGCTGATCGAATCGCCATTATTGCACGTGGAACAATCGAGTGCTGCGGATCCAAATCGTTTCTCAATAAACGTTACGGTGAATAGAATTCGCAACGAATGGAGTCTTTCTTCTTTAATCTCATTCTTGATGGCCTGTCAGATTCTGAAAAATAAATTTCAGAATATCTTGGGATTTAATGCGATATTTTCGAATTTTTTTTTCCTGGTTCGTTAGGAATTGGATATGACCTGAAAATAATGACAAAACCAGGCTGTGCGATTGAGATTCTTCAGCGATCAATTCAAGAATATTCTCCACATCAAATAACATTCAGGGGAACCGTAGGAATGACAGTGAGATTTAATGTTCCCAAAACCTCGAGATTCCCTAAATTAATGAGTTTCTTAGAATCTAATAAAAAACAACTCAGGATTGAGTCTTTTCTACTGAATCCTCCGAGCATTGAAGGACAATTCATCAGGTGATAATTAAAAAATTGTTTTCCTCCCGGAAATTAATGAAGCGTTTAATTTCAGGATTTGCCTGTCGAGTTATTTCAAAGAAAGGGGAGTATCATTCCCGATGAATCAATATGAATTGATCGTCCAGGAGAGAAGAAAGACGTTAATTCAATCGGGTATCAACTTCCAGAAAATTTATCATTTCTTTTTTATTTCCTGATTAATAATAATATTAGATTAAATTCAGATCACGCTAGTCTTGGAATTTACAGGAAAAACATGGAGTAGGAATACAAATGGTACATTATATCGTCAGCAAATAGCAGCGATGTTATATAAAAAATTTTTTCACGTTGTATCGTCGTGGAAGCTCTATCTTTTTTCCATTATTTTTTCTGTTATGACGTTGACATTCGTTATGATGGTGCCCCAACTGTCGAGGCATTCGCAGTTCCATTCATTGTAAGAACTTTAAAAGACTCTTATTCCAAAATTTTCCTCGTATCTCTTTCCTTTTTCAGAGACATCGACCTAAACGTCACGAGATATACGTCAAGAAATTTTTTGATGCTATACCATTCCTCACTGGATCCCGATGCTGTGAGATTCCTTGAGTCCTTGAAATCTGTCTCTAAAACATATGGCGATGAAAACTTTCATGTATTACACAACATCACAGCCACCGAGTTGATGATTCACCCAAATTTGCGTTCGATTAACGTAATTCTGAATTAATATTTCTGGATTAAAATCTGAATTGAAATTCATTTTGATTTTTTTATGATTTTACAGTGGAGAGATCGATATTTCATGTCGATTGATATTCTACCGGAAAACAAAGTGAGAATAATGCACTCTCCAGTTGCAATCGACAGTGGTCCCATCGCTTTGAATTTATTTTACAATTCTTTATTGAGATATTCAACGGGTAACAGCAATTTGAGAATTCATTTGAAAAGTCAACCATTGATTGATCCTCACGACGTAAGACATGAAAAAAAAATCGCTTTGCGTCAATTTCGATGATTTTTTTTCTATTGCTAGTGGCAACACAAGATTGTTCATCAGAGGAGCGTAAAAAACTGGGAGAATGCAGTAATTATAATCACATTATTCCTCGTAATTCCCACTGCTGAGTTGGGAATAATAGAATCAAGAAGTTCAACGAAGCAATTGCAATTCAATACTCATGGAATTACTCCCTTCATGTACTGGATGCCGATTTATTTCGTCGATTTAATCATCTACGTCTTTTCACTTTTGATAATATCACTCACGAGCTTCGCACTTTACGAAAATAGGAATGATATATCCAGTGGAAATATCGGTAGATTTTTTAATGAAATATTTCACTGAGTACTGAACGGATTTTCATTTTTCTTCAGCTCAGGGGTTTTTCATTCTTTTTACCTATGGGATGGCGGCTATCTCCATGGGATATTGTATTCAACTTTTTGTTCGCCAGAGAGGAACTGTTTATCTTATTATATTGGCCATCAATTTATTCGCAAGTACGTAGTAATCTATTCAATTGCTCGGTACAAAGTGCAAAATTTTGATAAATCAACGATTTTTTAATGAATTTTTTGCGAAAAAATTGCATTAAAATTTGAAAACCTATTTTTTCCAGATAATTTTCACTTCTTTACTTAATTATCCCGTTTTTTAATCTCAGTTTTATAATTTTTTATTTATGATTCCTTTTTTCGTTTTAGTTTTGGCCATGAACCCTGCAATAATATTTCCACTATTTTTGCGGTGGCTCAGTAAATCATTACGAATTTTAATAGAAGTAATTCTCCATGGAATTCCAGCGTACACCCTTGCGTGTGCAATAGGAAATTACATCGGAATTAATTTGTACAATAGCCAGTGTAAGGCTGAGAATAACTGTGGGAATGATTTTGGAATTGAAGATCCCTGTTGTCGTGAGTATTTCGTTAACGAATTGTAACGAGTAAATGAAAAATTGTCGTTGTTGTTTATTTGCAGAGAATTGTGGAGATCGTATTTGTCATGTAGCACTCGATGCTCTCATGGACAGTCAATCAGGTTCAATGTTGGTGCATTCAATTATCAGTGATATCGTCATCATGTTTCTTGAAACTCTCGCTTTTCTGTCCACCATCTATATCTTCGAAACGAGAAAACAGCAAAAATCGGTTAATACTCAGGAAGGCGAAGAATTACCCGAAGACGTCAGTAAAAATAACCAGGAAGAAATTGTGGAACAGGCACAAGAAGAAATTCCAACAGGAACAATAAAAAATAATCCAGTGGACGATTTAATTGAAATTTACAATTCGATCGAGAGTAATGGATCGTCATGGAAAATTATTTACATAAATATTTGCAACAATTGCGATTGTCCCGTACATCAAAGTTTTAATCACAAATTTGAATCCATTATTTTTACAGACAATGAAGAAGTCTTGCCTCCGGAAATCGTAGTGAAGGTGGAAAATTTGTCCCAGAGTTACGGAAAAAAAGAAATAGTTCATGACATCAATTTCGAAGTGAGAAAAATCGACTCATGTATTTTTGATTGAATAATTGTTGGAGATCCTTTCGTAGATCATTAAAGGTCATTGTTTTGGATTATTGGGTATGAACGGAGCTGGAAAGTCGACAATAGTTCGAGTACTGACTGGTCAGATCCCCGTAACCACCGGGAGAGCAATTATCCACAATGTGGAGATGTCTACAGACCCAGAAAAAGTAATTCCCACAATACTCCCTAAAAACGATAAATAAATCATTCCTATGTGATAGTTTTTTGGAATGATTGAATGTTGTCCTCAAAATAATGGACTGTTGGAATTTCTGACTGGAAGACAAAATTTGAGATTTTTCGCAGCGATTCGAGGAGTTCCCAGGAAATTTATAGAGGAAGAAATCGATAAATGGCTAGATGTCTTTGGTAACAACAATTTTTTATGAATAATTCATATATAATTATTTATTATGATAATTGAAGGGGTGAGTAGATATTATGGTTCATCGAAGTGAATAATTATTTTTTTATCATTATAATAATTGTAATAAATAATTCTGGCAGATTTGTTGGAGTTTGAAAACATAAATATCAAGGATTGTGCCTGGGGTATAAAACGTAAAGTATGTCTTCTCCAAAGTACCATTGGGAATCCTCCAGTGATTATTCTAGATGACCCAGCCTCTGGAATGGACGTGATAACTCGGAATGCACTCGTGGAAATTCTTCATCGAGTGAAAGAAATGGGGACCACTCTTTGTTTAATGTCTCACAGGTTTAGTGTGAATATAAATTCAAGGGATAAATAAATGTGTTGATGAATTGTTTATTTCAGTATGGAGGAGGTAGAAGCACTTTGTGAGTCCTTGGGGATTTTGGTGGATGGAAAAATGGTTGCAGCCGGAACCTCTGAAGACGTCAAGAGAAGTTTCGGTGATAAAATAACGATGAGAATTATTCTAAAGCAAGAAATAGGAAACGAGGACGTTGAAATCATTAGAACATCTGTCGAGCGGGTTTTTCCTTCGTCTCAATTTATTGATCAACACCTGGTGAGTCTTTCACTCGATTATCATGTCCTGAAATCGCAAAAAAATCTGTATCTTGTATAAAATTCACTAGAATGACCTCTTGAATACTTTATGTACATAAATCATTTTTGTTGCAGTACTGGTTAAATTACGAACTCCAGGACAGAATATCTTACGACGAAATTCACGAGACTTTAGAAAAATTAAAAGGAGATCATTCAAATATCATTAATTACTTCGTTAATCAACAATCTTTGGATCAAGTATTCCATAAATTATCGAATCTAGACGTTGGTGGGAGGATCGAGCTATCCGTGCTGCAACGAATATACACGGAATTTGGAAAGATATTCTCCAAAAAATGGAATTGAACATTGAGCCTGGACCATTAAAAAATGGTCTCGACTTTTTTATAAAATTTTGGTACGAATTCTGATATTTTATTACAATGAAGATTTTTTATTCTCACCCACAATTTTTTTATCTTTACTCTCATTCGTCTTGACACACTCACACCACGGGGTTAATTCTTTATCACACAAGAGTTCGATATTTAATATTGCAAGTGGAGAGTCAGATATCGTTACATTGATGACTTCGAGAAGTTTGTACGAGACATTATCGAGTCCTGTCTCTCGATCACGTTTTCTCGTCACTTCACGCTGATTGAAGCACTTTGTTGTGTCCCTTTTCCGGTGATTCTTGTCGTGAATGTGCCTGTGAAAAATATTTAACCGAACATTAAACAGGAATACAGAATGAGTGTGTAAAAGTGTATGAACAAATATCTACCTAAATGTATTCTGCGTGCCAGTAGAAATATTCTGTGGTCTTCGCACCATCAAATTAGCTTCTTTCAATCTCACGTAGAACTCATCATCTTCTAGACCCCATCCCCAGTATTTATTCGACATTCCATTGACTTGAATGAAATGTTCTCTGAAAAATTAAATCGGTAAACGAAAAATAACATGAATAGAAATGCCGACGTACCTTTTGATCAGTAAAATTCCTCCGATAAACGTAGAATAATGGTATCGTGGATGTAGATCAGGTGCTGATACGTGAAGAGGTGAAGCATCAGGATAACCGTACGATAAATTGTCATTCAATGGTAATAAGTCGACATCATGCATCGCGATGTAATCGAATTCATTCCTCACGTGCAGAAATCCGACGTTCACCAGAGATGCTCTGTTAAATCTAAATCTGTCCACCTGTCCACCATTTAAATAACACGAGAGCAAATGTTAGGTGAAACTTCTGGTTTTCTCATTCTTGAAATGAATTTCCCTTTACACATTTTTGTCTGATTTACCTGGTGGAGAATAAATATTCTATAATCAATATTTTGTTTATGTAAAAATCGTTTCATGTGAGGAGCAAACGTCAACAGCTCCTCAAATCGATCTCTAAAGGGCACGAGTACAGCTAATCTGTGGAGATTTCTCAAGGGTTCTGGCACATTGGTTGAATCTCTTTTTGATCGATCAGAATCATCACATATACATTTATCTGAAATCAGCAAATGGCATTGTCAACTAATTCGTGTTATAAAATTGAATGGATTCGTAATCCTGAATTGTGTAGTCTTACCGGTCGTAAATGGCAGAGTGCTGATAAGGCATGTTATGAAGAAAGTAATTAGAATTCCAATTAGTAAATATTTGGGACGAATTAATTTCCAGCGAGATTCCATGGTTCAATCCCTCCAAGGGGAGCAGAGAGGAATAAATTTGGAATTAATTGTTTTGTGGCGCCAATTACTCAGCTCCATCGATGCATTTGAAGATGTCGAGAATGAATTTTCAGTCTTTTTATCCCAAAACATAACATGAGAGTATTTGTTGTTACTTTTTAGAGTTTATTATCGGCTTTTTGACATTGCACTTCACCATTCAAAGTCTTAAGATAACATAACCTGGCTAACCAGCGGAATTATCTAGATCGTACCTCAAAGATAATTCTGTGGAATTATTAAACTATCTTGAATTTTTGAAAATTTATTGACAAATTCGCTAACAGAAATTTTTTATATGTACAAAATTTTACAATTCAAGTCAATTAAATTTACAGTCCAGAAAAAAATTTGCAGCCAGAGGAAAAATTTTGTTTTTTTCAATTTTGGAAATGGTGGAAATTATGTAAGGATAATTGCAGCAATAATTGACACAATTTCGGATAATGTATCATGGAAAACATTTATTAAAAATAACTTGGATAAAAGAGAAGTTAAATAACTTTCCAGTGATTTTCCAATTATCATTCATAATATAAAAATCACTCGTATATTTACATGTAATTTTTTATTCAATAGTTCATTTCTCATATTTCTCCTAGCCATCTATTAAATGTCCTGTTCTGGGGAATAAAAACGACAAAAAAAAAGGAGAAAGCTTAAAGTAACGAGTAAACTGCTATCAGTCATCCCAATAATATCGTCGAATCGATAAAAAAAACGACAAACACTCGGTTCTAGCAATATTTTTCATTATAAATCTTGTTTTTTCCTTTAATTTTTGGCGAAGAAAAGGCCCTCCTATCTTATATTCCACCATCCAAACACTAATTACTGCTTTATCAAAAGAAAAAATTGAACTCTTCAACCTGGACAATAGTCAGGAAACTTCTTACTTCCTAACATTTGAATATAGGTACTGTTATAAGTCATGTATCATTAAAAATGGATTATCCAAAAATAATCTTTACTCTATAGTTTAAGATTCTTACCTCTAAAAAGCAAAATGAAAAATTGATTTTTTCAAAATTAATGATAAACATTTCAAATTGAGGGACATAGTTCACATAACAACACACCATTTCTTCTCAGCAGTTGGATCAACGCCCACCGAGATATTTTCATTATTGCCTTCGGACTTCTCTCCAAGATCGAATTTGAATCCTTTGGGATTCGGAGTGGAGACTTGAACAGGCCTTCGAAGATTCTTTATGTATTCCAACGAAGTATTGAAAATCGAGCTTTCCTCCTGTCGAGGCTTTTTAGCAGAATCATTAGCCTCAGTCCCAAGTTTACGTTTACGATCTAGAGGAGTTCCATTGCGATTGGGTGTACTCAAGTTACTAGTGTACCGAAAATCGTCTTGAGAGAAAGAAGCACTTGTATTCACAAATAACGAATCATTGGGTGTGAGTGGACGATCTCTGAGGGTAACGTGTCTCATACGACCGATGGAACTCCTTCCAGAGATGCCTCGTAGGGTTCGACCAAAGGACAAGTCCTTGAAGGCGTCGGATATGCTAGCATTGGGATCCGTGACGTCCAGCAGTTTTGAGTTCTCTCTCAGGCAATCGTTCAATTTAATCTGCACGTCCTTCAGCATTATTGTGGAGTCATAGGAGACGAAGGAAGGGTCCTCGTCATGTTTCGCTTGGTCCTCACTGCTCTGTGATGGATTAACCTGGGATTTGACGTCTGAGGGTGGAGATGACTCTGATGTTGTGGATTCCACCAGGATATCTGCTGGATTGGCATCATTTCTTGATAATTCTGTTGGTTTCTGCTCGGTGGATGTGTTTATCGGCTCCTCGGGGGCTGTCTCTGGTTGTACATCCTCGGAGGGCTCTAATACCAATGAATCATCAGAGATCTCCACTATATCAATGACTTCAGTATTCATGCTCTCTCTTTCTGACACAATTGTCTCCTTCTGCTCATTCACTTCTGGTTGTGGCGGAACTCCATTGTCTGTTTCTTTTCCATTGTCTTTTTGAGTTTGAGGGGTGTCGTTTGTTTTTCCATTTGTGTCTGATGAGGCTGACGGATTCTCTTTGATCTCTGGAGGGTTCTCTTCAGGCTTGGATTTTGGTCTGATGTCCTTTTTCTTCGACTGGTGAATTATCTCTGAATCTTGTTGCACCTTCATTATGATTTTTTGCTTTTGTTGCTCTTGGACGAAACGTTTATCGGTTTTTTGTGAAGACTGAGGAATCACTCGCGAGTGGAAGTTTGTCGATAACGGCTTCAGCTTCGAAGGACTGCGCAGTTTACTCTGTAAAATAATTTTCAACAGAATTGATCAGGTGTACTAAATTGGACGAGTGAATTAATACAATTTCTTTTATAATTTTTGTCAAAGCAAATTCTACGGATAAATTTTCGTTGAGGGGAATTCATTGGAGAACGAGATAGGTATTTGGAGAAACTGAAGAAACAATCAGTAAGCAAAGCTGAATTATAGTCTTGCGGATATTTTCTGAATAACTTGTCTCGCATTGAAATCGTGTTTTATCGCTTCCTGACTGAGCACGTGAGTATCAAAAACAGAATGACTTCAACAAACTTTACAG